TGAAAATTTGCCACATGTGAGAATGTGCGTTGAGAGTTAATCCCACATCGAGAAATGAAAGACCTTGCAAGTTAAGTAATTGGGCTACTTCCATATAGCAATTGGTTTTATGGTGGAACATTTGCTCTTGGCATTGTTTGTCTCTTACTTGCTATGGCTACCACTCAAAATTGGCATCTCCACCAACTCGAAGGAAACAATGCCTTTTTGCATGGCGACCTTGACGAGGATGTATATATGACAGTTCCACTGGTTTAGGACGAAAGGGGGATGCATATATATGTAAATTGCATAAATCACTACATGGTCTAAAGCAATCATCCCACCAGTAGTTCAGTAAGTTTTCGACATCCCTCCAATGTGCAAATTTTGGACAATCCAAGGCGGACTACTCACTCTTCGTCCGTACCATTGACGGAGCCAATGAAGGCTCATTGGGGGCAGATGTCCACACTCAAGTAATTTGTTTGTTTAGCTTCAGACTATAATTATATAATGGCTTTTTAGCCAAAATAGTTTCTGAGATTTTCATAACACATAACTTTGGTTCCTGAAATTTAAAATCAATAGAAATCGTCCCTAAGATTGTCCACTATCCATTATTTTGGTCATTTCATTAAAAAACTTTGTTTAGTGGTCCCTGAGCTTTTTAATGGAAGGACCAAAATGATGGATGATGGACAATCTCAGGGACCAAAATTATGTGTTATGCAAATCTCAGGGACCAAAATTATGTGTTATGCAAATCTCATGGACCAAAGTTATGTTGTCATGCCCTGATCCTGACATACGTCCAGGATCGACACATGACGTCATCTAAACACTTGTATAACTCACATACCCCATCTCAGGAATATGGCAATCACAATTCGAGAATCAAATTGCAAAGAAATCTTTCGTTTACCTTATGGCTGCATCTAACCTCCTCGTTAGACTGCCTACGTACCCTCAAATAGGGATCAAGCCATTCGTAGTTCATTTCCACAAACCAGACGTTTATTCTACCAAGTTCAAGCAAAAAAGCATAGCATTCCTCAATCATTCAATATAACCTGACAACATGTAATTCCTGGACTCAGCTACATAACCAATCCCCATGAAAACATGATATCTCTCCCATCCAACATATAAATCATTATGTCTCATCATGACATTGCAATTCACAATGCACATCATATTTAAGAGCCGACTAACACAAAACCATCCTCTAGCCGCATTAATTAATTAATTTGATCAAAGTAAAACAATCATTCTCATATCTTCTAAATTCATACCTTATGAAATCATAATCAAATCATCAAAATCCTGAAGGAGTCACTCAGATGTCCAACATATTTCTAACTCAATTACAAAATCTCGAAACCATTGACACAAATATATATATATATATATATATATATATATATAATACTAAGGCTAAAGTTACATAATTAGGCCAAGTCTACTTCTCCAAACAATGGAATTTTAGGCCACTCCATGAAATTCAACAACCTCGGGTTCCGGACCACTCAACGAAACCAAACCAATATGATCGCCCAAAATGTACCATGTGCAACTAATCCTCATCACCTCTAGAATGAGAATGGTCCCTATCGGGGATATACCAAGCAGGACCATAGGTATAACTCATTGTGCTGGCAGTGATCACCCATCGCGAATATACCTAGCACGATCACCCCTGAATACATATGGTTCCCCCATCGCGGATATACCAAGCAGGACCATCCATGTATCAACTACTACGTGATGCAATCTCACCATCACACATTAAACATAATTATACGCATACATGCTATCGATTCCACATATCAACCAGCATCAAGTCAAATGGAGCACAACACAAGGAATTCCCTTAATTACTATTTCTACTAAAAATCTAATAAAGTACCTAACTCATCTCATGACTTCCATCTCCATCCCATGCTATATAATAGTGCCAAGTTCAAATAGGTATCCAATTGGCAAGCATATCCAAATAATTATCAAACAATAATTAGCTCCCATAATTGTCATAACATTCATCATAATTATTATTCATATTAATAACAAGTTAATCAAACACACCTATATCACAACATCATCAATACACAAACCAAATCATAGTTAATTAGCATAGGTCTATGGCTAAATATATAAAATTCACATTTCAATAGAAATCATAATTATAATACCAATTCATATTCACAAACGATACTAATATAAGAAATTAAGATAATAACCATATCACCTATGTCATACAATTACCAAAACTGAGCTCAAGGCATATAATTTAGCCTAAGAGTGACATCGACGGCCCCTGGCCATGCGCCGCTGCAGGTGGCGGTCGGCCGCCCTGACTCGCTGGAAAAATCCAACTATTTCCAAAAATTACCAAAATTTACAGGAATGAAGATCTCAATGAGTAGAGTAAACTTTATACCTGTGACCAAGGCCAATTTGGCCGGAAAACACCCCAAATTGGCCACGAACTGTCGGAAACCCTAAGGTGGGTGTGCTTCGATTTGGCATCCAATTGAACTTTGACGCCTCCAACACCGCTTAGGCTTTGTTCCTAGGGCTGAGGGGAGTCTTTTGGTGGTGGTCATAGACGGTGAAACTTGCCGGAGCCATCGGAAAAAGGGATAAAGTCGCCGGAACCCCCGTGGGTTTGTGGCTTCGAACTGGAAAAATAAGAAAGAAATTGGGAAATCTAACACCAAAAAGATGTAGGGCTCATCAAGGGCTTTCCTGGACGCCAAGATCACCCAAAACGGAGTTCGGATGAAGGAGATATGGCCGGGTCAAAATTGGAGTTTTGCGGGTCAAAAATGACCCAACTTGGGTCTCTCTCCTTTCCCCTCCTTGCTCCCCTCTGATTGGGCTGTTTCTACCCCTTTAAAAATCTGATTGGTTCCATTTTTATTCAACTAACTTAACCTTTAACCCACATGTGGGAATTAAATAATTCCCACAATCTATAGTTCACAATTTCAAACGTCCGTAACTATACCGTTATAATTCGGACTTGCAAACCGGCTTTCGCCTATGCGTTCGTGGGTTCAAGATCTATTCGAAAATGTTACTTGTGACTTCAAAAGGTCAACGAGTAAATAATAATTTTCCAAACTTCACTTCTCGTTACTGGTTTAATTGAAATCTAATTTCAAATAAATTAATATAAAATCGCAATAATACAAATACGTAGAATATAACAGTGAAATCTAGGAACGGGATTTCACATATGTGTTATACTCTCAACTTAACAGAGTTTTTTAACGGAATAACCAAAATAATGGATGGTGGACAATCTCAGGGACCACTTCTATTGATTTTAAATCTTAGGGACCAAAGGTATGTGTTATGCAAATCTCAGAGACCATTTTGACCAAAAAACCTTATATAATATACATGCATTATATTTGAAGAAAAAATATGTATTTAATATCTAACATATTCATACTACTTATATTTCATATCAAATATTATATGAGCAGAAGTGCTCTTGTTCTGTCATTCAAACCGAAAAACCCCTCTCCCGCCTATCATGTATTAATATTTTTCTCATCATTTTGCCACTTTCCACTACTATATGAAATTTTTGTAACATTGGAATACATCATCATTTGAAATCATCCCTATTATGATATTGGGAATAAACCATACTCAAATAAGGCTTTCTTAGTTGTTTTTCGGGTTGCCCCCACTAGAAGAAATTTCTAGCTCCATCCTAGTCTGTACACAAGGTTATTGTCGTGCTTGTTTACTTTCAGTGCCGGCCTTGAGGGGGTGCAATAGGTGTCACCGCACAGGCCCCAAATCAAAAGGGCCCCCGATTTTTCAAATTTGCATGCATTTGCATAAATATAGTAGTATGTGTAGAATATTACAAACTAGAGTCTTAGCACAAATGGTATTATTGGTTCGTTACAGCGGCCTAGGAAATGGGTTCGAAACTCGTTTCCATCATCTTTTTAGTTTATTTTTTATTAAATGCATAAGTTTTCACAAAATAATATAAAAATTCCACACAATAACATGAAAATTCGAACCCTGACCATCTAAATAGTTAAGGAAAAACAATACGCCACATTTCTACTTGTTGATTTGTTAAATTTGTTTGTGCTATTAGAATTTATAGAACCTCAATTGAAAACTAAAATTTGTGTTTTGGCTACTTCCTCATATAACACTGACTTTGTTTTGATTGATCATTCGGGGGTGACAAATCATATGACTTGTGATCCCGGATCAATCGAAGATCTTCGCACATCCACTCAATATGTGGTCTAATGCGAATGGTAACCCTTCCCGGGTAATAGGGGATGGCTTTATTTCTCTTGCAGGTTCATTGATTGCAGATTCAGTTTTAGGTGTTCCCCAGTGGATTATAGCTTATTAGTTATTATCTGTTGGACAAAATTCTGATACCTTATACTGTGCTATAACTTTTTGGCCAAAACATTGTTTTTCCAGGCGATTCTCACATGGAACATAATTGGTATGGCACTAGGAAGGGCAAGCTCTACTACTTGGACATGACCACCAACAAAATGAATACTGCATCTGAGAAACAAAGATTAGAAGTTTGGTTTTGGCATCAAAGTTTACGCCATGCGTCTTTTGGATATCTTTGAAAGTTATTTCCTTCGTTATCTTATAGTTTTAGTGATTCGAGTTTCAAATGTGATGTTCGTGAACTTGCAAAAAAAAGTATGATAAAAGTGACCCACCGTTTATGATCATTCATTCCGATCTACTTCTACTAGTGCTAGATGGTTTGTTTCTTTTATAGATAATTGCACACATATGACTTGGATGTGTCTTGTGAAATCTAAAAGTGAATTGTGCTCTATGTTCCAGCAGTTCCACAAAATGGTGGAAACCCTGTTTGATACTAAAATTAAGGTTTGTCATTCAAATAATGGAGGAGAATCTGTTAATTATGAGCTTCAAAAGTTTTTCACAGGATAATGGTATTGAACACCGACGCTCATGTCCTTATACTCCGTAACAAAATGGAGTAGAAAGAACCAACACTTACTGAAAGTTGTTTGTGCCTGTCATTTTGGAGCTCACATGCCTCGATCTTTTTTTGGGGAGACTGTCTGCTCCGCTGCATATCTTATCAACCTCGTTCCCTCCGGTGTTCTACAGTTTCAAACACCACTCCAAACTGTCACTCATCATTGCAAGCTACCTTCCACCTCCAAATCTGCACCATGTGTGTTTGGATGTGTGGTGTTTGTTCATGTTCCTAAGAGCAACCGAGTAAACTGGATCCATGTGCTTTGGAGTGTGTTTTTCTTGGATATGCTTAACATAAAAAAGGGAGGAATTAATCATTGGTGCTCCCCCACAGTGGAATTTGCCTCTTCTTTGCTCCCTGCCTCTGAGCATTAGTAAGCCAAAGGATAGATTGATCTGGCATTTCAACTTGAAGGGACTTTTCACTGTTAGGAGTGCTTATTATGTTGCTCTTAGTTGGATAGGAGAGGCTCATGATGTAGCTTCTTCTTCCATCAATCCAAACCCTTGTGAAGTTCTGTGGAAAAAATCTATGGGAAGCAAGGGTGAAGATGTGCGCATGGAGGATCTGTTGAGATATCATTCCTAGTAGGGAAAATTTGGTGAGAAGACATGTTGGGATGGATCGCTTTTAGGTACTCTGGTTTTCAAGGATAAACAGCCCTTCACCTTATAAAGGATTGTCCCTATGCTATTTGTGGATGGATTTCGACACCACTGGGGTACCCTGACATAGGAGTGCAATTGAACTCGATGGCAGATGGGCACTTCGCTTGGCCTCAAAGCTAAGTTGGGCAAATTTCAAACTCTGCTGGTGGTTTGGTGGCCAGTTTGGGGCTCCAGGATGACGTCGTATGGAATGCTGAGATGGTGCGACCAGTATCTCCATCTCTCGAGCCGTTAGCTGGTGGCAGAACTACGTAAGTTTTCTTCTCACAGGGAATCTGCTAGTGTAAGAGGCTGGGAGATCTGTAAGTGAGAACCACTCCATGCAGGCCATCTAAAAATTAATACTGACGCATCTAATATACATAATTTGATCACATATTGCACACACTTAAGTAAACAACACAACAAATATTGCACACTTTTTCTCTCAGAAAAGAGTAAACAATAACCTTACAATTAAGTAAACAACACAATAATATTGCACACTTTCTCTCTGAAAAGAGATGGAAGCACCCAGAAAGAGAATGAGGGATAGAAAGAATGAACAAAGTGTATAATAAGCTCTCAATGAGAGAGAGAGGTTAAAGAACGCTGCAGATGCTCAATTTCCTCTTTTGCTTCTCGGACTTTGGAGGATAGAGAGCCAACTTGATAGCTGCATCAAAAACAGTCTTCACATTCTGCAATTTTTAACAATAATTTTTCAACTCATCAGCACAAGCCACAAGACCTAGTGACAGATTACTAGGGCCGATCCCAATTTAGTACCATAAGTTTTGCACCAAAGAGCACTGTTTATACACGGTTTCAATTTGGACACTTTAGTACCCTTACTTCGTGAGTCAACAATGTGTCCAAATTATTACCATGTGTATAGACATGAACTTCGGTGCAAATTTCGGAGTAATATACTGAAATTAATCCTTAGGTTCCTGAAGAAGTTCCTCAAGAAGACCATGTATTGACTTGAACATAAAAGAACCACATTTTTCCTTCCATGTTTATCTTGTGTGAATTTCATGAGCGTGCACACACGCATATACACACACGTGTATGTATATATATTTTTGTGAGACCTACATGCTGTTTCTTTGAGCTGCACTCTATATACGACACAGCACCTATTTGCTTCTTCAAATCTTCACCCTAAAATATTAGAAAAAATGCAGAAGAATGATTAAATTAGATTAATGCAGTAGCAATGACACAAACAGCATTAAAAAGGACCAAAGTAGCTGAAGTGGAAATCTACCTGTTGTGTAGAGATGGTACCTGCCCCGGGGTAATCCATTAGGAATTGTTTGTCTTCCCTCAGATCTGCCCTAGCAAATAAACCATAAGTTGTTGAAAAACAGCAAAGACATAAACACAGAGGAATTCAAAAAACATGAGCTGCTCTGCTGCGTTCAAATTTTAACCTTTAGGGCTCTTCAACAAATAAACCTCTCAAAAGATTATTTCGTGGCAAAAAACACTTCACGCTGCTTCGAGAAAAATACTCCTGGACTCAACTGGACTCGACATTTACAGCATTCTCCATTATTTAGAGCATAGAGAAATTTATAAACAAAAAAGAAACATAAACTAGCTCAATCCAATTTGCGAAGGTAGCAATTGGTAGTGGAAAGATCAATCCAATTTGCAGAGGTAGCAATTGGTAGTGGAAAGAGTGGATTACCTAGTTTTGTCCCTACAAGAATGATAGGCACTGATGGGGCATAATGTCTTAGCTCAGGGATCCACTTCTCCACCATAACAAGAGGAGAAAAGAAAAAGAAAAAGAAAAAAGAGAGAGAAAACAAGAATCTGATTAGAATATACATTTGGTACATGCAATTTAGATAAAGTGATTCTTAAGATGAATTTTATAGCTAAAGTAGAGAAAAAAGAAGCTCACTTTCTTTGATATGTTCTCATAGCTAGGCCTACTTATGAGGGAAAAGGCAAGAAGGAACACATCAGCTCCTCTGTAACTAAGAGGCCTCAATCTGTTGTAATCTTCTTGACCTGCAAAATTAATTCACACAGATAGAAAATCATATTTTATATATATATATATAATATATAATTTGGAAAAGCTTAATTCTGATTTTCTTTGTTTGTTACAGGCATGTTTTCTCAAATATATGCATAACATTTCAGTTTTTCTGTTTTCATGGAACCTGACTTGCTGAATCTGAAAGACCCTTTTAGGATCTCATACAGTAATGCTCATTCACTCCACCTTTTTCTCTTTACAAAAAGCTTGGCATCACACATTTCGCTAATTTTAATTCTTTTAAACAACTCTACTTTTGCAAGCGGCTATCAACATTTACGAAGTAAGAGCATTTACCCCAACGTTCGAGGTCCTAAGTTCGGTTCTCTCCTCCTAGCTTGTATAAAAAAAAAAAAAAAAAAAAAAAAAAAAAAACTCTAATTTCAAAGAATTGGCATTCATATCCTACTTATTAGGATGAAAGCTTTACAATTTATTCTTTGTTTTATTGTGAAGAACACATGGTTCATGGATACAGACTGAAAAATGATGCTGACAGATATATAGGTTTTAGATAGTTTGTTCATTTTAGTCGCATGAAGCTGAAAGATGCAGTCTTAAGCGGATAGTTTGTTCATTTTAGTCGCATGAAGCTGAAAGATGCAGTCTTAAGCTGTTTTAACTAAACCAAAATGAATTATCAGATACCTTTGTGATGCTAAAATCAAACAAAAGTACCAATAATTGTCATAAAAAAAAAAAATTGGCAGAAAACTATAGTACAAGCTAGCAACCAAAGTTTAAAATTCCCATTCAGCATGCAAAATATACATGAGAGAGAGAGAGAGAGAGAGAGAGAACCAGCAGTATCCCAGAGACCCAAATTTACAGTCTGCCCATCAACCAAAACGTTGGCACTGAAGTTGTCAAAAACAGTTGGAACATAATCCTGTTAATTACAAAGAAAGATCATGTATGACTGATGAGAAAACAAAAGATAATGGGAAACAAATATGAAAAATTCAATGAAAATGACAGAAAGGAAAAAAAAGATGCATAAAGGGGTTGAAGGTAAGAAAATATATACGGTAGGGAAAGTGTTGCTAGTGTAGGAGATGAGAAGGCATGTCTTTCCAACAGCACCATCTCCAACTGTCACACATTTGATGAACTTTGATGTTGATGCTGCTGGAGCTGCTGCACCTGCTGCTGTTGTTCTAGCATTAGCCATATGCCTGGCTAGCTACACGTGTGCTTAAATTGAGGTGACAAAATGATTAAAACCCTATCTCTATATCACTCTCAAATGTTTTTCTTGAAGAAAATCAAGAATACAATTTAGAGAAGCCTCAGTGTTTCTATCTCATTATGAAGGTTGTTAGAGAGAGAGAGAGAGAGAGAGAGAGAGAGAGAGAGAGACTTGCAACAAAAGTTTTCTTAGAGCTTTTTGAGAGGAAGGGAAAGATGGTTTGATTATTGAGATCACTTTAATTTGAGCTGTCATAGAGGCAAAGAGAGGCAAAGGAAAGGAAAGGCAAACCCACATTGGAAATAAGTCATAATCTTAATACTTGTCTCTCCCTCATGGAGGAGCTTACTTGTCTCCCCTCCTCTTGAGATTAACTTAGTTTTATCATACAACCATTAGAAATGGAGGTGTTCATTCTTTTTATCATCATCTAAAGATCATTTCTTTACATAATTATTTTTTTTTTGTCAAATTTTTACATAATTATTTAATTTGGAGATCATTTAGCCAGGATGCTGCTTATGAATGACTAAAAGATCTTCAAATTGAATGATCTTTTGTATATATGATCTTTAGATGATAATAAAGAAAATGAAGAATTCTGATTATAATATTTATACGATAAAGTTATGATAGTCATAATGAGAGGACAAAGTGGATTCTCTCAAAGAGAACACAAGTATTATCCATCTTAATTAAATAGAGTGCATGTAAGTAATCCAACTTCCATTTCAATTTCCCGGCTGCCTTTGACATTTCATTTTCCTTTATGTTATGTGCCTACTACAATTTACTGTCTACCGTTTACTATTTTCCACTTTTAGGGTTAATGATGCAATTAACATGGATCATCTCCAAGAGATGCTGTAAAACAATTACAATTCTATTTTAGAGAGTCAAATTCAAAATAAGCATTCTTGTCCAAAAAAAGAGTTAAATTTAAAAAATTCAAAATGAACAGTAGCTATATATCAGCTAAACATTAAAAAAAAAAATGCGAGAGACTAAATTTGTAAACTAAATTTTATAAACCAAATGATGTAATTATTAATGATTGAATTATTACTTAAGTATTGATAATTTTCTTATTAATAGTGGTAAATGTCCTTAACCCCCTCATCTATTCTCATCGATCTACAAACAAAAGGTATGTTCCTACAGCATTGTTTAAAAATCATCTCCTCTGCTCCTTTTAAGTACTTAATGAAAGCTTTGGTTTTTCTCCAAATCCATTCTCTCCTAATCTGACCTAATCTTTTAATATCAACCCTTCACAAAAATCCAATGGTTATTAAATATTAATCCTTTTCATAAAACATTGACATTTTTACATTTCCTATACCAATTTTTAATAAATTGTTTTTATTATTTCTCTTTTTTCTGTTGTTCCATATTCTCTCTTCCCCCTCACCATAAATCACGGGCATATGGGGTGTGCAATTTATTATGACTAGTAAATCTCTTATCTTTCTCTCCTTCCCTCTTCATCCATGAGCATGACTGCATGAGTGTCAATGCTATGGGTACCATTGCAGACTCAGTCCCACAATAAAAAAGAACAACTTCTCAAACCATTTAAGGATTAAATGTGTATGGGTTTATACCAAAAATTAATCAATATTAGACCATAGTTCAAGGTTTAAATTTAAAATGTAAAATATGGGGATTGCATGAGAAGTGCAATCCCCATGCATATGCATGAAAAGCAACTGGAAAAATAAACAAATATGATTTTGTTTGTTTGTTTGTTGAATAAGATATTTTTATTAAACATTTGTAGACATGTAAATTTCGTTGCATGCAAATGATGCATCACAAAACTCCACGTGGCATATGACTCATCATAAATAGACAAGTCATCAATGACATGTGGCACAAATCAAGTAAAGGAAGAATAAAACTTCCCCAAAACTCTGCAAAAGGGGGAAGAAATCATTTAAAATCGGCAAGGGGCCCAAATTGCTCCCAAAACCGGAAAGAAAGCTAAAACATCTTCACAAAACAAGCTAGAATTGAAGATTGCTCCCAAAATAGGCAAGAAAGCCTTATAATTTGGCCAAGCAAGGGAAAGTGGCTGAAATTAAGTCACAAAACATGCCTAAGTTCTCCCATGGACAAATCAAGATACAAATCAAAGCCAAATCCATCCAAAGGCAAGCTTTTGAGAAGTCTATAAATGCAAGGTCTTTTGACAAGCATAAGGTCGACAATCTCTACATTCAAGGTCAACAATTCTACATTCAAGGTTGACAATTTCTACATTGAAGGGCCGAAATTCTCAGAAAAGGACAACCTCTGCCAAATTTTTGAAGACTAATACATTGACAAAGTTCACGTCGAAAAACGCACAACCCAAGCTGAAGCTTTCTTTCGATCAAAGCCGAAGCATTCCATTGAAGAATCAACAAGCACTTGTGCCAATTTCTTCAAGACTTTGTTGTAAGCTTAAAACTTGTAATGACGTTCGATTCAAGATAAGTCGTCAAGACCTTCGAATCAATAAAATCCCACATTAACATCACCTTTGCTGCAACTTTAAGGTGAAGACCATCCAAGCATTGTTTCAAGCTCAAAACTTGAAGCAATCATTCAATTGTTCGTCCGTGATTAAGTCATCGCGAGATCAACAACCTACACATCTACATCAAATTTGAAGACTGAATTAGAGGAAAATTGTAAACATAGATTGTAACCTACAAATTCATGAATACAAATCTACTTTGTACACGTGTCCTCATTTCATTCGTTACAGAATTTTCATGTTTACAAATTGGCACGCCCAGTAGGACCTTTCTGCTTCTTATCTCTGTCTTCAAATCCATAAGAAACACACATGGCATCAAGAAAGGATCAAGTTGTTCCCACAACCAACGCGAAGCACAAGAACATCTTTGCCACAAGTGGTGGCACTTTGGGCGTCACAACCTGAAGCAAGGCAATAACTCTTTATACCATGCTTTCACCCCTACATCAACTCTGCCGAATGAGTAAGAGCACTCGAGGCATGAGCCTGTAATCACCCTGGCCTCGCTAAGGGCAGCAAGGGAAGAAAGCTCGAGGAGGTACTCCAGGTCATTGACTTCCAATGCCGACTCAAGCAGCAACTTGTATCCTGTAGCCATGCAAGTCATGACTACTGGTGCGACTTCAATCAAAGAGCAGCTGGCACAAATGAGCGAAACAATCGCAAGGTTGACAAGGACCGTGGAGGAAAATGACTTATAGATTGCTACACTCGTCAACCGTTTAGAGGCACAGCATGACAAGAAAGCTAACCCGAAGGTTGATCCACCAAAGCAGGAAACTGACGAAAATGAAGAGCCTCTGGTGGAGAAAGTCGAAGAAAAGCTAGAGGTGGACCAAGCTACCACATTCATGAGATCTCTCTCTATCCAACAGTTATAAGAAATGATCACAAGCACCATCAACGCCGTACTACGAAATGAGCTCACATGACTCCGTGTTGTACTCAAAACCTTACTCCAAGAAAATTGACGCCTTGAGGATGCCAATGGGTTATCAGCCGCCCAAATTTATGCAATTTGATGGAAAGGGCAATTCTAAGCAACATATTGCCCATTTCATTGAAACCTGTAACAATGCTGGGACGGAAGGAGACTACTTCGTCAAACAGTTCATGCGCTCACTAAAAGGTAACGCATTTGACTGGTACACCGACCTTGAACCCGAGTGCATCAACAGCTGGGACCAGCTTGAAAGGGAATTCCTTAACGGTTTCTATAGCACCCGCAGCACAGTAAATATGCTGGAGCTGACAAGTACGAAGTAGTGGAAGGATGAACCTATCGTTGACTACATCAATAGATGACGTTCATTAAGTCTAGATTGCAAAGATCAGCTAACTGAAACCTCCGTCATTGAGATGTGTGTTCAAGGCATGCACTGGAGGTTACATTACATCCTCCAAGGCAGAAAGCCGAGAACATTTAAGGAGCTGGCAACTCAATCCCATGATATGGAGCTAACTATTGCCAATCATAGGAAGAATGAGTCGATCACCGACTTAAAAAAGGATAAGGTGTTCGCCCAAAGGTAGACAGGACTAGGAAAAAGCCCATCAAGGAAGCTTTTGCCGTTTATACTACCCTTATCAAGACCTTATTTGTGCCAGTCAAGATCTCCTCCAAAAACAAAACGAAAGAGATAAAAGAGGTGAGCCTTCTCGCACCCAAGATAGTACAAAAACACCTTGAGGGAACTAGAGTAGAAGACGTACCCTTTTCCTGAGTCTGACGTGGCTGCAATACTAAACGACTTGCTAGAAAAGAAGGTGATTAAGTTACCTGAATGCAAGTGCCTCGAAGAGATGAATCACGTTAATAATCCTAGGTACTGAAAGTATCATCGTATCGTGAGTTATCTTGTTAGCAATTGCTTCATCCTCAAGGAGCTCATCATAAAGCTAGCACAGCAAGGGCAAATCGAACTTAACCTTGAAGACGTGACCGTAACATATACTACTACGATTGTGTTTAGATTATTCGATCTCGTGCCTCTCCAAATGACGCCTGAGCACTCCTATCCATGCTCAAGCTACATGGCACCTTGTACACAACCATCATTGGGGGTAAGTGACCAAAATGTACCTACCGACGATGAAGAAGGGTGGACACTAACAACCTACAAAAAAACAAGGAAGCCAAGACCACAAGCCACACGGCCAAAGGTGGAAAAAGGGAGAAAGAAACGCTACCGCAATAATAGGAAGCCCAAAAAGAGCGTAAGAGCTGCTAAGCCAACGTACATAAGAGGAACCTATGGAGTAAGAGCCGCGCATTCCTGTCTTCTTTCACGAGTACTTTCCAAATAACTTCTTCCAACAGTGCACTACCGCTGCCTGTCACATGGTTGAAGTGGAGATAGAAGAGCCTTCAAAAGGCAAAGCTATAGCTATTGAGGAAGAATTTCCTACAGCTTGCTCTTAGAAAGGCCTTGGATCCACAAAAATGGAGTATTGCCGTCCACCCTTCATCAATGCTTAAAGTTCTACCAAGAAGAAGTACAGGTGATATAAGGTGACACCAAGACATTTATTGAGGTAGAATCACACTTCGCAGATGCTAAGTTCTATATGGACGAAGATATGGTACCCGAATCTCTTCCAAAAGAGATCAAATCCACAGGCAAAGTCGCACCTAAAAATCAGGAATGACAAGCCATGCCCAAGAAGTAAGAATGGGAAGCCATGCCATCTTCAAGAAAAGACGATGATGAGCCTAATCTTGTCATGGCTGAACCAGAACTATACTCGGATTAGGATTCTT